TAACTTCCTACACCACTTTACGATGTGAAAGGGAAACGGGGAAGTAGGGGGAAATGGTGCCTCTGAACATGCTTTCCTGCAGTCTTCAGTGCATAAATATTCCTGAGATGTTAAACTGGATTTTTTTCCCCCTTTTTGCCTGTACCTAATACACCCCAGCTGAATTGCAGTTGGTGTCGTGATAAGAGTATAGATCCATGAACAAACATGGTATTTTCCTCCGCATAAGATTGAATCCATCGTGCTTCTTCACAGAGATTGCAGTGATGGATGCTAGGCTGAAGATGAGCAGGAATTTTAAAGAGACAGACTTCATTTATTGGATAGGCCAACATGGCTGTTCTCCTTTTGGAGCATTTTTACTCCAGCCATATTGTGTTTCCCAAGTTGTGACAAAATAAAACTTTGGTAAATCTCACTCAGCTTTTTCATCTTTTTAGGGATAGCTAGATGAAAAATGGAAGATGTGATCTCTTCCAACCACAGTAACGAAACTTGAAAAATTATCTCTTGTCCCTTTTAATACACTGAGCTAGATGAGAGGGGAAATTAAATGGGACATATGCTTAAGGTCCTTCTTGCGTATTCTTTCACTTTACCAGCCTACATATTTTTAATTTGTTATTTCATATGAAGCCCAACTTCACTCTATAATTCAGCCCCATTCTTTGTTTATTCTTCCCAGACATGTAATATTAAGCCAGGATTGTTGAATAAGCCATGATGTCTATTTCACTCATTGGACTCAGTTAAGAAAACAATCAAGTTCGGCTTAATGGTAGCCACCATTTGGGTTTCTAGTAGCTGCATCAATGGTGGGTTGCCCTTGGTTCAGACCAGTTCGCAAGAACCGGTAGTAAAACCGGCGGGAGGCCCCACCCACTGCCCCGGATGTCATCATTGGCGATCTGCACATAAGCAGAAGCAAGGCGCGCGCACTTGCTTCACACACATGTGCGTGCGATCCCATTGCAAACCGGTAGTAAAAGTAAGTAAAACCCACCCCTGAGCTGCACCTCAATCCCTGGGATGTGGAGTACAAGTGAACAGGACCAAATCCTGATCTGCTCTGAGCCAAGATTTTTTTCCTGGATTAGGAAAGTTTGAAGATTATTCTTCATTTTTAAAAGTTATGATGAGTGTTGTTTAACATTACACTTCAATTTATGTCTTTTCAAAGATGGGAAACAGAGCCAGAAATGTTCAGCTTTTCTGGTATTGGGCTTTGAGTTGAGTTTGATTCCAAAGGACCACGGATATCTTGGCCACAGTGTGGAAGTGATTGCCTTCTTCCTAATAATAATAGCAGTAGTAACAATAATAATTTATTAAACTGGTTTGTCGCCCAACTCTCAATGAGTGTGTATGACTTCTTCCAAGATACGTCTTGACTTCCCAGCATAGCCCCTATACCTGAGATTTCCTACTGGTCATAAAAATAGATTCAGCAATCACCTGTGATCCTAAGACTTTGATATGCCTACCTCTAAATTCATGTGGCATAAATCCCCAGTTTGATGAATTAGGTTAAAGTTCATGGTTAGCTGAAAGATCTGAATTACAGTTACAATAATTTGGGTCTTCCTGCACTGTCCCATTAGCTAACAGCAACTAGCTAATCTTGACTGATCTTGAGAAGCTAATCAGGGTCAGATTTGGTTAGTACTTGGATGGGAGACCAGAGGAAATCTCAGGGGTATAGGTTAGATTACAAAGTCAAGAATGCATCTTGGAAGAAGACAATCACAAACCGCTTCCATACTATTGCCAAGAAGTCCATGAAGTAATCAAGAGTTGGTCCCAACTCAAAGGAATCCTCACCTTTACCTTCCTAGAAGCAGAAGTGGTCCACGTGCAAGATGTGTGTCCCTGTTCAGTAAATTAGAGAAGGATTTCCAGTGTTGTTGCTTTAACATTCTCTGCCAGTCTGAGACTTCCAGACATTCCGGATTATAGCTCTGTTAACTCCCATCCAGCATGAGCTCAGAGAGTGTGGGAATAGTAATCCAGAGTCTCAAAAGGCACCAAACAGACAAAAACTGGCAGGCAGTCTTTTCTGTAAATAAAATATAATAATCAGGAAATGAAAGAAAGAAAAAAAGGTTTATTATTGGATGCTGCTTCAAATATTGCTCCTCGGTTGCAGAAACACTGCTGATCGGGATGCCCCATTGCATTGGAACGCGGGCTTAATAAATAGCTATTGCCTCTCTGCATGAGCTGCCATTCAGAGCGGTTGAAAACACATGATCTCACCATTGTAGAGGCACCACATTGTCTGTAATAAACATATCATGCACTACATCAAATCTGAGTGACAGCTGTGCTGTAAGAAAATTGAAGAAGGGTTGGAAACCGTGTAGGCTGAAGGGAAGAGGCCTGTTTTCCTTCTCCTTATAAGTGTGCACTATTGATCCTGTTCAGTGGCAGATGTGGTGGGGTGAGGAGGTGGGAGGGGAGGAAAAAAGGATACTATGATCTTTTTATAGGAAAGTTAATGAAAGCGTCATGTCAAATAATATTAAGAAGAAAGACAGGAGCATCGGAGGCTCGTGGTGCATGTCAAACGCAAAGCTCAAATTATCCCTTGGAATAATTTATAGACACTATGGAGAACCAGCAGCCTTGTGGCCAATAAAGACAGGACCTGGGGCTAAAATTATTGGCTCTGATTGAGATTCAGGTCCCTGTTCTTCGGTTATAAATTCTTCAAGATTTCGTCTGTAGGATGAGTTGTTCTTATTAAGAATGTCATGTTGAGTTGAGCGCTCAACTCCTGGTGAGTACACGGACGTGTCTACGCAGTTTTGCTGGCAACATTTATTTATTTAATTAAGTCTGCATCCCACCCATCTCTCAATCCAAAGCAACTCTAGGAAGCTTACAATACAAATAAAAACATAAACAAAAGAACATTACACACACACACACACAAAAAAAGCAACAAGAATCACATACAAGCTAAGCACATGAATGCTACAGAGGTGGTAACTTCTCCATTAATCACCGGCCACTTCCAGGCTAGAGTGTCTCCATCCAGGCCCAATGCCAATCGATAAAGCCAGGTTTTAAGGCCCTTCCAGAAAGCCAAAAAGGTGGAGGAAGATCTCAATTCCGGGGGCAAGCAGTTCAGGGGTGGGCTTCAAAAATTTTAGCAAGGGGAGTGTTTAAGGTTGCAGATTCCTGCACTATATAAATCTATATAAGGGAGCTGGGTCGGCGTAGCCTAGTTGGCCTCCTGCACCATGGTGGAGGGGGGGTTTTGCCCTCCCCAGGCTCCGGAGGCTTTCCTCGAGCTCTGTGAAGGCGAAAACAGCCTCTCTAGGCTCCGGAGGCCCTCTGGAGGCTGGAAACGGGCCTTCCCGAACTTCCAGTAGGCCCATGGGAAGATAACAGCATTCCATGGGTCTTTGGTGTTTAGTCATGCTGGCCACATGACCACAGAGATGTCTTCGGACAGTGCTGGCTCTTTGGCTTTGAAACAGAGATGAGCACCTCCCCCTAGAGTTGGAAATGACTCGCACATATGTGTGGGGGAACCTTTATCTTTACCTTTAGCCTAGAGTGCTAAAGTTACTAGTTACTAGTATTCCTGTTACTCTGCCAAACAAGTCCCAATTAAGACCAACCCTACTTAGCAACATGTCCCCCTCCCTCTTTTCTATTTCTATTACTATTATTCACATCCTCATTTACCCTATGAAGTTCATTGTGCCTCATTCTAACCTACCAAGTTAGATTCAGTGTTGTTGTGATGATATAATGTGGAGGGAGATCCCAGCTGGATCACCTTTTTGGATGAGAGGCATGACTTCCAAGCTGTGCCAATAATTTAATCATCATTTGCAATAGTTACAATAGTTCTACAAAGTAGGCCAGTTGATGTAGATTCACCTACTCATAAACAGAAGTTTCTCAAATAGTTAAATATGACATATTTTTGAAGGATATGCTCTGCTCATATTTTTTACACACGTAAAATATCTCTTTGAATATTGGGTTTTAGTGATGACAGTGCATTCTCTGATTTAAACAAGCAATCTGTCTTAGTGGGTTAATAGCGTCATTGAAAAAGAAATACTAGCTACCACAAATACACACACACACATACATACATACATACATACATACATACATACATACATACGTACATATATACGTACGTACATGAAACTCATCCAGGTTATCTTAGCCCCATAGGTCTGCATAACCTGGAACTTTAAGGCAGCTTATTTTCAAAAATGCAGAAATTAAACATCAAAAAGACATCGCCTAAGCCCAGGTTTATGTCCCATTCACAAAATTCTGCAAAAATTGCTACCAAAATTTGCTATCTTTAACAGATTAAAGGAGAAAAGTATATCCTGTATGGAGAGAGAATATTCATACCATTTACATTTAATTTTAATCAAATATCAATGAAAGCAAAGCAGATTTAGTTTTAATTTGCCCCATCTATTAGTTTTTCGGAGCATGGTCCCTGGGTTGGTGCTTACCCAAATGGAGTCTACATCTTAAGAGAATTAGCCCCAAGCCTTACTCTTGAGGAGACCTCCTCCTGAGGAGCCACTCCTGCCTTTTGGCAGCCCTGCGTGCTCGAGCATTGAAAAGAGGCTCCTCCTCTTCATCCTCTTCACTTAAAGGAGCTTCTGGAGGTTCTAAAGGCCCTGGCTGAATCGCTGCCTCTGGCACCACATCTTCTCCAGCCTCCTCACTGTCCGACTCGAGCGCCAGTTGCACAGGCTGCTGGCGCAGCACCACATCAGCCTCCTCACTGTCGGAATCAGCTACTAGCTGCACAGGCCACTGACAGGCCACAACAACATGTGACAGAACATTTTGTGTCCGTATAGGCCTTACCAGCCACCTGCGGACACATCATGGACAGCAACCTGTTAGATGTCAAGGTCCTCTTCAAACACGATGGACAAACATCACGTTTCCTTGTTAACTAACAGTTTTGATATTACAGCATTTTTTCAACTCTCTTGTTTCTCTAGAAGAGATCCTGAAAAGCCAGATTGCTCACTGGTGGTCTCCTGATGGCACAAGATTAGCCTATGCAACTATTAATGACTCCCGGGTCCCACTAATGGAGATACCCATGTTCACCGGAAGCCTTTACCCAAAAGCGGAAGCCTACCACTACCCAAAGGTAGGATAGATTTTACTATTCATTTAACATTCAAGATTTGGTTACTTTTACTGGGAGATACAATTCAAAGTTAATCAAATGCAGTTAGAAAAGCAAGATTATTTCTGAATGGATCTTTTAACTATAGTCTTCGGGGTCATATTTATAGAATCACAATCTGTAATACTAGTGGTGTTCGTTTAGCGACCACAATTAGGTCATGAGGCAAAGGGGTTGCTAAGCACAACTGTGCTCATAGCTTTCCTTCGCTATACAGACTTGCATAGATCATAAATGCAAGAATTGGTCACGAAGTTGATTTATCATCACCCTCATAATGGCAAAGAGTTATTAAATGAGGTTGTTGCTAAATGAGGACTGAGCTTAGATCACTTTTTCAGCGAGGCTGTGGTCAGAGGCTTCAAGATAGCGAGAGGATCAATGGGGTTAGGTTAAAATATGGCACTTTATGTAAAACTGTGCCTTATGAACTATTCCCAATTTGAATACATAAGCATTATACTGAATACATAATATGTTATGAGCCACAGTGGTGCAGTGGTTAGAGTGCAGTACTGCAGTCTACTTCTGCTACTGCTGGCTGCCTGCAATTTGGCAGTTCAAATCTCACCAGGCGCAAGGTTGACTCAGCCTTCCATCTTTCCAAGGTGGGTAAAATGAGGACCCAGATTATTGGGGGAAAGTTGCTGACTCTGTAAACTGCTTAGAGAGAACTGTAAAGCACTGTAAGTGGTATATTAGTCTAAGTGCTATTGCTATAAAAATCAGTCAATGGTAGATTTCCATCCTAACTATCATTATGTTCTCCTTTTGTCTTCTAGGTCGGGACAGAAAATCCAAGCATTTCCTTACATGCAGTTGTGTTGAATGGGCCTCCTCATGTTCTAGAAATGACTCCTCCAGATGATCCACGAATGAGGTTTGTGTGATGCTACCTTAAAGTAAGGATGAGAACATAAAATGAAGCTCTGGTATATAACCAGCTGCCTTTAGCCTTAGATTTTCTAATTCTATTCTTTCTTCACTTCCCTACCCATTTTTCAGTGCTGATTGTATCTTTTTGGATATCAGATAGGCTTGTCTAGTTGTCTTGACCCAAATTTATGGCTGCTGGGGACAGAGACATAATGGTAGTGATAGAAGTTCAGAGACAAACCACACGCAACGTGTAGTCCTGATGGAACTACATTTACATAGAGGGAAGTAAGCAGTGGGGTACCCCAAGTTTCTGCCTTAAGCCCAGTACTCATAAGTATCCTCATTAACAATTTAGATGAAGGAATAGAAAAGGAACCCATCAAATTTGCAGACGACACCAAACTGGGAGGAATAGCCAACATCCCAATAGGTTCAAGATCCAGAATGATGTTAGCAGATTTGAACACTGGGCCGTATCTAATAAAACGAAATTCAATATAGAGAAAAGTAAGGTTTTACACTTAGGCAAGAAAAAGCAAATGTACAGGTACAGATTATTTATTTTTATTTTATTTATTTATTTTAATTAGATTTATATGCTGCCCTTTCTTCATAGGACTCAGGGTGGCTCACAACAATTAAGATATACAATCTCAATCCAAGTAAGAAACATGTTAAAATACATATTAAACGCATATTAAAATACATTAAAAATCAAAACCCCATCAGTCCAGGCTGGGCAATTTAAACAGCCATGTTTTTAGTTCGCAGCGGAAAGTGCGAAGGTCAGGGGCCAACTGGAGCCCCTGGGGGAGTTGATTCCAAAGGGTGGGTGTGCCCACAGAGAAAGCTCTACCTCTGGGGGTCGCCAACTACTGCAACGCTCTCTACATGGGGCTCCCCTTGTAGGAGCACTCGGAGGCTCCAACTGGTGCAGAATGTAGCCGCGCGGGTACTTATGGGGGCGACATGGCGCTCCCACGTGACACCTCTCCTGCGCGAGCTGCATTGGCTTCCAGTGGTCTTCCGGGTGCGCTTCAAGGTATTGTTTCTCATCTTCAAAGCGCTCCATGGCTTAGGGCCCGGTTATTTACGAGACCACCTTCTGCCTCCGATAACCTCCCACCGGCCAATACACTCCCACCGAGAGGGCCTCCTCAGGTGCCATCTGTCAGGCAATGTCGGCTGGCGACCCCCCCGGGGAAGAGCCTTCTCTGTGGGGGCACCCGCCCTCTGGAATGAGCTACCCCCAGGGATACGACTGATCCCGGACCTCCGGAGCTTCTGCCGGGCCCTGAAGACTTTTTTATTTCACCAAGCAGGGCTGAGTTAAAAATCTTTTAATTGGGGAATTTTATGGGTAAGGGGTTTTAAATTGGGGAAGCCAAAGATTTAATTTCGTTTTAAAGTATTTTAATATTTGTATTGTGTGTTTTTAATTTTGGCTGTTCACCGCCCCAAGTCCTTCGGGAGAGGGGGCGGTATAAAAATTTAATAAATAAATAAATAAATAAATAAATAAATAAATAAATAAATAAATAAACAAACCGACATTTTCTAGCCAACAGCACCCTGAGTAGGCTCTCCCTGTGAGAACGCACCGGATGATGGGGAGCTGTTGCTGGTTGCAGATGGTCCGACAGATATCCTGGGCCTAAGCCATGTAGGGCTTTATAGGTCACTACCAGCACCTTGAATCTCACCCGGAGGGCAACCGGCAGCCAATGCAAGTCGCGCAGGAGAGGTGTAACATGGGTGTATCGCGATCCTCCCATCACAACCCTCGCAGCCGCATTCTGCACCAGCTGAAGCCTCCGAGTGATCTTCAAGGGCAGCCCCAAGTAGAGAGTATTGCAGTAGTACAGATTAGGTGAAATCTGGCTCAATAGTAGTAACTGCGAGAGGAATTTTGGAGTCACAGTGGACAATCACTTAAATATGAGCCAGCAGTGTGCAGCAGCAGCCAATACAAACCTAGGTTGCATTAATAGAAGGATAGAATCAAGATCACATACAGTATTAGTACCACTTTATAAAGCCTTAGTAAGACCACATTTGGAACACTGCATCCAGTTTTGGTCACCACATTATAAAAAAGACATTGAGATACTGGAATGAGTGCAGTGAAGAGACTCAACTTTAATGTTGAATCATGCTGTAATTAGGTAATCACTGGTTGTGAGAGTATTTAAGCAAGGTATTGTAACGTATTCAGTTTGATGATGAAGCTGCTATGATATGCTGCCATAGTGTATGGAGCTGATATGATAAGCTACCATTGAGAGGAGTTGCTATCTGCTAATCATCGTTGGATGGATCTGTTACCATCGTGGTTTGTGAACCAGAGTGAGTTTGTTATTCTAACCAACTACTGTTTGTTTGGTAAAATGATATCTGTAACTACTGGACTGATTTAACTGGCAAAGACTTGGAATCTTTTAAAGACTATGAGACTGTTTTTCTACTAAACCAGTTTGCATATCTCTTATTCATTGCTCTCAGCAACGTTTCCTTGTGCATTTACTCTGCTGGTTGGTAACACAACACCAATATCCTTAACAAAGAGCAACAAAGATGATTAGGGGCCTGGAAGCTAAAACATATGAAGAATGGTTACATGAATTGGGTATGTCTAGTCTAGTGAAAAGGATTGGAAGTGACATGATAGCAGTGTTCCAATATTTGAGAAGCTGCCACAAGGAAAAGGGGCTCAACTGATTTTCCAAAGTACCGGAAGGCAAGACAAAAAGTAATGGGTGGAAGATTATCAAAGAGAGATCCAGCCTAGAATTAAGGAGGAATTTCCTGATAGTGAGAATAATTAACCAATGGAACGATTTGCTCCCGGAAGTTGTGGGTGCTCCAACATTGGAAGTTTTTAAGAAGAGATTGGACAACCATTTTTCTGAAATGATATAAGGTTTTCTGCCTGAGCAGGGGTTGGACTAGAAAATTTCCAAGTCTGTTATTCTGAATCAGAATTAAGGCTCATTTCAATGAAACCTATCTCATCCATCTAATAAAAACTCTAAGCACATTCTAATATATATTCAAGCCACAATTAAGTGCCTATGAAGGCAATGGAGTCCAATGGACTATTGTCAATGATACTCATACTTCAAAGTACCTCTCAGTCCTCCAGTATTAGTTGGGATGTTGATCCCTTATTGTACCATCCAATAGCCAGTTTGGTCTAGTGGTGAAGGCATCAGGCTAAAGAAACCCGGAGACAGTGAATTCTAGTCCTGCCTTAGGCATACAAGCCAGCTGGATGACTTGGGAAATCATAGGGAAACTGTGAATTCTAGTCCTGCCTTAGGCATGAAAGTTGGCTGGGGAACTGAGGCAACCACCAGGAGATGGAAAGTTCTTCTTCTTCTTGTTGTTGTTAGTTGCAAAGTCATGTCTGACCCATTGCGACCCCATGGACAACTTTCCTCTGGGCCTTCCTGTCCTCTACCATCCTCTGGAGTCGATTTAATCTCATGCCCACTGCTTCAGTGACTCCATCCAGCCACCTCGTTCTCTGCCGTCCCCTTCTTCTTTTGCCCTCAATCTTTCCCAGCATTAGGCTCTTCTCCAGTGAGTCCTTCCTTCTCATTAGGTGGCCAAAATATTTGAGTTTCATCTTCAGGATCTGGCCTTCTAAAAAGCAGTCAGAATTGATCTCCTCTAGGACTGACCAGTTTGATCGCAGGAGTCTTCTCCAGCACCAGAGTTCAAAGGCCTCAATTCTTTGTACAAATAATAAAGGCAAAGTGTAAATAAATAAATTCTGGCTCTGATACTACAGTAATCAAACAAAAGGAGAGCATCTTGGTCTTTCATCTCCATTCTATAATAGGACCATAGGAAATTATTAGCAAGCAAGAACAGGTGATTCAGTTCCGTAAGGGTGAAATGCAGTAGCATCCACTGTAGATTTACTATACATTGCATTGCAGCTTTATATATTTAGTATACATTGCGACTGAAATAGTGGGGTGGAGGGAAGGAATAGGAATATTTGCTATGGGTGATTTAGAGAGAGCAAAGGAAGAGATTGTGCTTCACTCAGTCTGGGCAAAAATAGAATGGATGCCCCCGGGGAGCTCTAAGGTTTGAATGGAGCAACGAGCTTTCAGAAACAGTGAAAAATACAGGGCAAAGAAAGTTCATATCTTAATGGGTCATGTTAGGAGCAACAGCATGATAATTATAAAAGTTCCTGAACAGCAGAGAACAGAACAGCCAAGGGTGAAAATACAGGGCAAGGGGGACTACCAGGGAACCGGTGGAGGACTGAAGACAGCTTTGTTCTCGTGGATCTGATGGCTGCGGTCAAGAGAGAAGCTCCTTGAAACTCCACTCTCAATCATGGAGAAGGCAAGGATCACCACAAGTTTGCTCCAGGCAGAAGCCTTCCTGCTATAAAATAGCAATTTCCACTGTGTTCAAAAGCTGGTCAGCTCAAGACCAGAAGAAAACAGAGTAGATATGATGGAATGTAATGAGGAGTGGATTTGCTGGAGGGAAGGGGTACATTCCGGAGGAACAAGAGGCAACTCAATCCAGATATCATGTGTGAGAGAAACGGAATGAAGATAACAGACTTCACTTGTGAAATATATTTTTCTTGTGAGATAGCTTCACTAGGTAAAAGTAAAGGTTCCCCTCGCACATATGTGCTAGTCGTTCTCAACTTTAGGCGGTGCTCATCTCTGTTTCAAAGCCGAAGAGCCAGCACCGTCCAAAAACATCTCCATGGTCATATGGCTGGCATGACTAAATGCCAAAGGCACATGGAATGCTGTTACCTTCCCACCAAAGGTGGTCCCTATTTTTCTACTTGCATTTTTAGAACTGCTAGGTTGGCAGAAGCTGGGACAAGTAACAGGAGCTCACCCTGTTACGTGGCACTAGGGATTCAAACCGCTGAACTGCCGACCTTTCGATCAACAAGCTCAGCATTTTAGCCACTGACCCACCGTGTCCTTGATACCTTCACTATGTGAGTGCTAA